AGGGAGGGTGGGCCTAGGCCCCTTATCTCTGTGCTGACTTCCTTGATGAGCCTGTGAGTGACATTTCATCCTACTAATCTCTTCCCAGCCTATAGTTTCCCCTGTCCAATGTCCTGAAGCAAGACTCACCCAGTATTTGGCCCTTCAGATTGGCTTCTTTCATTCCGTGCAGGCCCTACACCTTCCACTACGTCTTCTTGTTGCCTGATGAGTTTCTCTTTATTGCTACATATTTCATTGTATGGCTCATCACACTCCGTTGATCCAATTCCTATTTCAGGACACCTTGGTTGCTTTTAGCTCTTAGTGATCACATATAGAACTGCTATACACATTCATGTGCAGCTTTGCATGTGTACGTAAGTTTTCAGCTCATTGGGCAAATACCCAGGGCCATCTGTACTACTAGGATCCTATAGTAAAGTTGCTTCATCTTATACCAAACTGCCAGGAGCTGGGTGTGGAGGTGCCTACCTGTCATTCCAGCACTCAGAAGGCTGAGGTGGGAGGCTGGATCACCATGAGTTTGAGGCCAGCTTGGACTAAATAGTGAAACCCTATCTCAAACAAAAACTTTTGTATCATTTTCTAGAGTAGCTGTACTGTTTTGCATCACCACCAGCAACAAAACCGCCCCATGTCTTCACTGACATTTGGTGTTGTGTATGTTTTAGGTTTTAGCCACTCTGACGGTTAGTCCTAGCTGGGTGTCTGTATTCCCAGAAACCTGGGAATCTGAGGCAAGAGGATAGCAAGCTTAAATCACACCTGGGTAACTAACCAAGACTCTGTCTCAAAAGGAAAAAAAAAAAAATACTGGGGATGTAGTTCAATGCAAAGGCCTTGGGTTCAATCTCCAGTACACACACACACACACACACACACACACACACACACACACACACACAAATTTCCTAATGACATGATAATGAACATCTCTCTTCATATGCTTACTTAGCACCTATAGATATTGTTTGATAAGGTGTTGATTCAAATCTTTTGTCCATTTCTTCAGGTTTTTTTAGTTTTTATTTATTCATTTATTTTAGTATATTTGAGCACTGCCAAAATGAGCAATAGTTTCTTGGTTTTTTTTTTTTCTTTTTTTGGAACTGGGGATTGAACTCAGGCCCTTTTGCTTGCCAGGCAAGTGCTTATTCTACTGAGTCATCTCTCCAGCCCCTAGTTCTTATTTTTTTAAATACCATTTGCAGCACTGGATTATATTCCTTGAGGGAAGGTGGTACATGAACATAACATATCTCAGTTCTTTTTATTTATTTATTTAATTTTTTTATTTAATTTTTTTTTAAAAAATATATGAGACCAAGTGTCCCTGGCAGCTAACTATAACTTAAGTTATAGTTAAGAAACAACTTTATTCTGAGCAGGGAGAATGACAACACAGCACTTAACAGCTATATTGTAGTCTGAATCCTGCTTTCAGTTCTTTTTACATCTCTTTTCCCATGTTAGTTTTTATGTGTGTGTGTGTGTGTGTGTGTGTGTGTGTGTGTGCTCGCGCGCCGCCAGCTCAGCCCACCAGGGGGCGGGGCTGGCTGGCATGTGGTGCTGGGGGATTGAACCGCGGTCCCTGTGCTTTGCTAAGCTTGTTCTAAGTAGGTGCTTTAGACCACTGAGCCATCTCACCAGCCCTCCCATGTTAGTTTTTAAGAAACAGGGTTAACTGTTTTACCCATAATGGCCTCAAACTCCTGTGCTTTCAAATAATCCTCCCTTAGCTTCCTGAATATTTGGGACAATAGGCACACATCACCACCCTTGGCTCTCTTTTGTCCATGTTTAACTCAGGTTGCTGTTTGTTTGTTTGAGACAGGGTCTCACTATTTACTTCAGCCTGACCTTCAATTTATAACAATTCTGCCTCAGCCTCACAAGTGCTGGGATTGTAGCAGTGTGGCACCACAACTGGCTAGGTTGTAAATTTCTTAAACTGATACATAAAAATTGTGCATATTGATGACCCCGATGGGATGTTTTGATGCACGCATACATTGTGTAATGCGCAAATAAAAGTGAACACATGTATTTTCTCAAATATTTATCATTTCTTCATGGTAAAAACATTCAAAATCCAGGGCCAGGGAGATGGCTCAGTAAAATAAGTGCTTCCCTGGCAAGCACAAGGGCCTGAGTTTGACCCCTGGTTCTGCAAAAAATAAAAATTCTTTTTTCTAGCTTTATTTTTACTTTTATTTTTTGGTATCAGGAACTGAACTCAGGACCTTGTCTTCAACCTTTAAAAAATGTATAGAACATTTATTATTGTTTTCTATAATGTCTTATTGTTGTTTTAAGAGTTCTTCGCATATTTTGCATATATGTTCTTTATTGGTCTTCCAAATATGCTCTCCCAGGCTGTGGCTTGTCCAGAAGGTGTGGACGTAGCACTTCAGCTGGGGAGGGGCTGGGGGTATAGGGTGCTCAGAGCACCCAGGTCACCCCTGCTAGATGCAGTGGCTTTTCCCCCTAGTTGTCCTCCACATCTTCCGACAGTGGCAAATCTCCCAAGTGGGGAACTGTTCTGGAACATTACTCTTGTCTCAATCAACACCCTCATTTTAGAATGTACTGATATGGGGGAAAGAAACTCCAAATCTACTAGACATCAGGGATGAGTCTATTCCCAAAAATCAAAAAATGGGGCCAGCAAGATAGCTCAGCAGACTAAGCGCCTGCTTTGGCAAGCACAGGGACCAGGGTTCAATCCCCAGTCCCGGGTGCTGTGCTGGTCCTGACCCCGGGGGGATCTGAGCTGGCAACCTAGTCTGGGCATGGTGGTGCATGCCTGTAATCTCAGCACTGGAAAGGCTGAAAACAGAAGGATCACTGTGAGTCCGAGCTGCATTGTAAGATCCTGTACCAAATACAGAAACCATGAGTTGAGGTGGGTCCAAAGTGGAAAACATAGAAACTTAAAAGGTGGACATGAAGTAAAACAAAACTATTGTCCACTAATAAAATTACAAACAAAATTAGGTAAAATTGATTAAATGGGGGGCTGGTGAGATGGCTCAATTGGGGCTGGTGAGATGGCTCAGTGGTCTAAAGCACCTACTTAGAACAAGCTTAGCAAAGCACAGGGACCATGGTTCAATCCCCCAGCACCACATGCCAGCCAGCCCCGCCCCCTGGTGGGATGAGCTGGCCACACACACACACACACACACACACACATAAATAAATTTTTAAAAATTGATTAAATGGGGATCAAATGGGGAAGTGAGTCACATAGCAAGTGGGCATGAAATAGAACAGGGCCGACTCCTGGGCTTTCTCAAGGTGATAGAGACCTATTTAGAATACCAATCCCTGATGTTTATCTTTAGGGAGATATGTGGGTGCATTTGTTTAATCTTTTGTTTTGAGGTCTGACTCACAGCCGGAGATTGTGTGTCTCTCCCACAGTTGCAAGGTATCTCATCTTCCTCACTAGCTCCTTTGAAGACCTAGCTCTGTCTGGCTGTGCGTGGTAATATTTTTATCTAACTCAGCTTCCTACAATATTTTGGTAGTTCTTATATATTACAAACAAATACTAGTAAAAAAAGAATCCAAGCAAATAAAGAAGGACGGGGGCTGGGGAGATGGCTCAGTAGAATAAGCACTTGCTGGCTAGCCCAAGGGACTGAGTTCAATCCCTTGTTCTGCCAAAAAAAAAAAAAAAAAAAAAAAAAAAAAAAAAAAAAAGAAAGAAAGAAAGAAAGAGAAATAAAAAAGGACAAACATTGGAGAAGGATGCTAAGCCTCAAATGTGCATTCTTTATCTCGGCCTAGCAAACTACAAAGTCCAGTTGAGTCAACTCGATAGATCCTAGAGATGGTATTGTATCCCTGATAGGTTTTCAGCAGTACTACAACTGAGAAACAGGCAGAAGGAAAAAGGGAAAGGGGCTTTATTATCTTAGAGGACAGGGAGAGAATCTGGGGAAGATGAGGAATTCTCTGGATTGGAACAAAGAGAGCCTGAGGCGTTTATGGCCTCTTGCAGGGGTGGGGTTTGAAAGGGATGTTTAGATATACCTGAGGAGCTGATGGGGGGGGGGCTTCCCTGAGGTGGGGGGAAGGGTGAAAGGAAATTGCACCCTGGGCTGAGTTGGAGAAGGGGGGAGGTGGTCTCTGGGAAAATAAACTGTTGTTTTAAGGGCTTCAGTCATATTAGATGACCACCATGATTCAGCAATTCATACTAGGGCCATAACCTATCAATCTCAGCACTCAGGAGGCTGAGGCAGGAGGATCACCTTGAGTTCGAAGTAACCTGGGCTACAAAGTGAGTTCAAGGTCAGCCTAGAAGCCATAGTAAGACCCTGTTTCAAGAAACAAACAAAAATCTGAGACTTATTTTATTTATTTTTGAGACAGGGTCTCACTTTGTAGTTCACTTCTTTTCATGGAAATAGAGATGAAAATCTTTTTTTAAATTTTTTTTAAATTTTATTTATTTGTGTGTGTGTGTGTGTGTGTGTGTGGCCAGCTCATCCCACCAGGGGGCAGGGCTGGCTGGCATGTGGTGCTGGGGATTGAACCACGGTCCCTATGCTTTGCTTAGCTTGTTCTAAGTAGGTGCTTTAGACCACTGAGCCATCTCACCAGCCCTAGAGATGAAAATCTTAATCAGATTTTAAAGCTTTTCAAAATAGATTGGTTAAATCACATTTTACACTCCAGTGTGCTCCTTAACTGTCTTAACTGCTTAATGGTTGATACAGTGTGTCAAGGAGAATTGAGACTTAGAAGCTTAACTAAAGTGACTCAGCAGGAGTCCAGGGTTCTCACTTTGTAAACATTCTGAGCTTGTGGAAGAGGAGGGCACAGAGGTGGCTGGGTGGATAGCCTGCATACCATATAAGGAAGGAAAAGAACCCCACTTCCTCCCCTTCCCCCTTTTGCTCTTCTTGCTCTTTGCTGTCACACACTGCCTCCCATTGCTGTCCCTGTGCCGTGCCACCCTGCCTTAGAGCCAGCAGACTACAGACTGAAACCTCCACAAACTGTGATGTAAATAAAATTTTCCTTCCTTAATTTTGAGTGTCAGGTACTTTGCCTCAGCAATAAAAGAAAATAATTAAGACAACTCTTGGTTTATTCTAGGGCCAGTTCTGACCATCTAGGCTTGAGCAGTCCTCCTGCCTCAGCCTCCAGAGCAGTTAGGACTACAGGCAACTGTGCGACTTAACTCTCCTCGTCAAGGTCGTTTAACATTCTTTGTCTGCTTCAAGTGGATTAACTGCCCAGGCCAGTACTATAAATTCATGCACATCCTTAAATCTGATTCATCTGTTTTTGCTTATTTTAGTACTGGGTATTGAACCTGGGACCTTCACATAGCTAGATCCTTTTTTTTTAAACCAAGAATCACACTCAGGACCTGGCTTTTGCCAGGCAAGCGATGTGCTGCTGAACCATATCCCTGACCCAATATATCTTTTTAAGTAGTGTCAAAAATAGACTTTTAGGGGCTGGGGAGATAGCTCAGTGGAATAAGCACTTGCCTGGCAAGCTCAAGGACCTGAGTTCAATCCCCAGTTCTGCAAAATAAATAAATAAATAAAAATAGACTTTTAGGGCTGACCTGATAGCTCAGTGGACTAAAGTGCCTGCTTAAGCAGAGCACAGTGGCTGGGGTTCGATCCCCCAGTGTGCCTGCTAACTCCACCTCTGGGGTGCACTGAGATGGCTTTTGAGACTGGGCGTGGTAGTGTGCGCCTGTAATTCCATGGTTTGGGAGGCCAAAACCAGGAGAATCACTAAGACAAAGTGAAAACCTGTACACCCTGTAGACTTTGTCCTAAGTATAGAAAAAGAAATGGACTTTTTTTTTGTGGCTGGCGCATCATATAGTGCAGGGATTGAACCGTGGTCCTGGTGCTTTGCCTAAGCTTGTTTAAGCAAGCGCTTTAGACCACTGAGCTATCTCACTGACCCCCAAAATAGACTTGTAAAGTTTGCTCTTAACCAAATTCCTATAAAAATGGGAATTGAGGGGCTGGGGAGATGGCTCAGTGGAATAAGCGCTTCCCTGGCAAGCGTAAAGGCCTGAGTTCAATCCCCGGTTCTGGAAAAAAAAAAAAAAAAAAAAAAAGGGAACTGAAAAGTCTTTGCCAACAGGGTTATTTTTAAGTTACATGAAAAAACATGGGACAATTGTTATGGGTCAACCCTGCATAGGAACCAGATCAGCCAGATAGAGATTTTTTTTTTTAATTTAAATTTATTTATTTATTTGAGTGTGGGTGTGTGTGTGGCCAGCTCAGCCCACCAGGGGGCAGGCTGGCTGGCATGTAGTGCTGGGGATTGAACCGCGGTCGCTGTCCTTTTGCTTAGCTTAGCTTGTTCTAAGTAGGTGCTTTAGACCATTGAGCCATCTCACCAGCCCTGATAGAGATTTGAATAGAGCCTTTTATTTACTGAGCTCAGGT